AAATTACATACTTCTAACACATAATGGAACAGAATAGACAATACCTTACCAAAGGGAAGATTAGGGGTATAGTTGAGAAATATTGAACCAACGCAAGACCAAATGTCAACAGGGCAAACACCAAATCCTGAAGCTCAACATTTATTATTGAGGGCTTTGATGGCTCTGTCCTCTGGCTTTGCTGCCTGAAATATACGCCTCTCTCTAGCCTTGGCTCCATTCTCTGTATGCAGTTCTGCAGATGCCTCATGACCCCTGGCGCTTCTAACATCTTGCGGTCTCCACTGCAAACCAGGAGGCTTCATTTTCAGAGATGGATGTAATGCTCTCCCAGAGCCTTCATGAAGAGACTCTCTAACAACAAGCAGCCTAAACTCAGTGGCTCGCTGAAATCACAGAAGAATCCATGACCCCTCTACTCTTGCATCCTTTATACTTCTAAATCCTTTAGCATGTGAATGACACCACCAAGTTTGGCTGCCATCTTGGGATGAGTCACATTAGCAGGAGCTTGTGTTTGCAGTTGCTTGCTAGGAATAGAAGATCCTTAGGGCTTTCACAATCTGCAAGTTTAGCTAGGTGGGGTCTTACACAAAAGGCACCTTCAGCAGTAGCTCATTCTCCAGCATCAACTTCTGAATCAGTTACAGTCTTAGCGTTTCTCTTGCTGTGATGAAACATCAGGACCAAAAGCAACTTGGAGAGAAAAGGGTTTATTCGCCGTACTCTTCCATATCACTGTTCATCATCAATGGAAGATAAAGTAGGAACTCAAACACGGCAGGAATCCAGGGGCAGAAGCTGATGCAGAGGGCGTGGAGTCATTCTGCTGACTGGCTTGCCCAGCCTGCTTTCTTACAGAACCCAGAACCATGAGCCCAGGAGTGAACTCAACACCCAACCGGCTGGCTGTATCCTCCCATATCAGTTACTAATTAAGACATTGCTCTACATGCTTGCCTACATTCTAGTCTTATGGATGCATTCTTCCAAATGAGGTTCCTGTTACACAAGTAATTTCACCTTGTGCCAACTTAACATAAAAACTATCCAGGGCAGTAACTTTGCATTGCTGTAGGAAAACATTACAACTAAAAAACTCACTGAAGAGTTTATTCTGGCTTACAGTTCAGAAGGGGAAGAGTCCATCATTATGGTGAAACAATAATAAACAGCAGCTATGGCAACAGGAACAGGAAACTGAAAGATCACATCGTATGAGTAGTCATATGGTAGACAGTGAACTGGAGTTAAAGTGAGACTATGTACACTTAAAACCCCTCCCCCAGGGACATACCTTCTCCAGCATAGCCATACCTCCTAAGTCTTTCCAAACACCAACTGGGAACCAAGTATTTAAATATCTGAGCAAAAGGGGGGACATTTCTAATTCAACCCATACATAGTCCAACTTTTTAAAAGTCCCCAGTGTCTTTAAAAATCACAATGTTTTATTTTTCCAAAAGGAAAGATCAGGGCATAAAAATAATCACACTAAAGCAAACTCAAAATCTAATGGTGCTCATCCAAATCCTGTAGCTCAACAGCCAACATCTGGAACTCACTCCTAGTGTAATCCCTCTGGGCTCCAAAGGGCTTGTGAAGCCCCACCTCTCCAGCCCTCCTATCCACAGCACACAGCTGCCTTCTTATCTAACATACAAGAAATTCTGCCTATAGACAATGTTCTTCAGCAACAGGATCTCACTGAGCATGGGCTTCAGCCTGCCAGCCCAGGATTTACTTGTGTTTGTGAGAAAATGGATCCCAGACTCTGCCCCAAACCTCAAGTCCACAGATGTTGGTGTATGCCTGATGGGGATTTATTTTTCTAAACAATCTTTCCAGAATATTCTAACACATACTGTTTGAGATACACTGGAGGATATAGAGAGCATCACTCTTAATTACTCAAGTGGCAATGCAATATTAATTTACAAAGAAAATCCAAATCTCCTTTAATCTGTTTATGATAAATTAAGGGAGACTGCTCAACAAGTCAGCATCTGCCTCGTAGGACAGAAATGTCAGGCTATGAAGACAGTCTTAAAACACATCATGGATCTCAATATTTTGGAAATTTGATCCAGTTTTTCCCTAGAAGTACTTGTCTTGCAAACTGTAATTAAGTAAAAACTTCTTCAAAGACCAGCTGCTTCTCCATAGCATTTTTTTTTTAAAAAAGCTGATTAGCAGGAACTAGAGAGGATGGAAGATGGAAACAACGTTGAAGACAGAAAGATTTGACTTTTTTCAAGACCTGTAGCCATTTTTCTGAAGAATTAGCAGATGCTAATACACCTGGACACACTGGCAACACCACAACTGTGCTCATTACAGTACAGCTTTACCTCGAGGCCCTCACACTTTTAATTTAACCACTAGACTGCTCAAAGGGCTTTTCGGTGGACTCAGGTGGCTATCATTTGCATGGTGAATTCTAGGAAAAACACATACCTTCTGACTTCTGCTAGGGAGAATGGAGCAGAACTACTCAGTTAATCACATTGCCCAGGGAAGACTTCCCTGAGTCTAATCCCCTGGCTCTTCCCCAGACCTTCAGTATCAGAACTGTTCAGGAACTGGTGGGGCTAGGGCCCACCAATCCATACATTTATAAAGTCTCTTATTAGAGACTTCTATTTATTATTTAATTAATTATTAATTGGAGACCTATTAAATATATGGGGAAAGGAGAAAGCCCCAAGTGAATGACTGCCTGAGTCAATGTATGTTGTTGACATGAGTATGGGTCATGCCAAGGACCTCAAAGCCTTAGACCCTTGGGGGAATAGAAATGCCTTCTCTCCTGGTCCAAGCATGAATATTGACACTATGTACAGAAAATGCCCTTGCATAGCTTTCTCCCCTTGGATATTTAATGCCTATGCTCTCCAATAGAGACCCCATCTTCTGAGAATAGCTAAGACAGTCTCCTTGATCCAGCTATATACCAGATGGACAATCTTCTTGATTTAGCTGCGTACAGTAACAATGATGTCTTCTTCAACTGTATATATCATGCTACTCCTGGGGAGCTGCAGCTTCTCCATTGAGAACCTGGTCTACCTAAGCTGAGCTTTTCTCTGTCCCTTTGCTTTTCCTCATTCCTTCAGCACCTTGGCCAGATCTCTCAGAGAGCTATAGAACTCTCAGCAAACATTGCCAAAAGCTTTAGTCATATTACCTCCTCTTCCGGAAAACTTTATTAATGTGCCTTTATTCTGTTTCCAGCTGCTTGTTCATGAGTCAAGGTTTGAGGCCGTGTATCTGTGTTTCCCCAAATACACAGAGCTTTGTTGGCTCATAGCCAATGACACTGCAGCTTCACAGATCCTGCAAGCACATAGCCTTTGCAAGACATTGTGTATAACTTTTAAATGTGACTTATTTTTTTGGTCATCTTTTAAAATAAAACATCCCAAATTGCACAAACATTGGATATTGTAAACCCTGAATCTTCCCCTTCTATAATTGACACTGTATATAACAAAGCCATGTAGAATAGTCCCAACCTGACTAATTTTTACAGTTCAATTTTTAAAAGCTGTTTTTTTCCCTCCAGTTATTTTCTATCTTGATTTTCCCCCACAACCCAGTATTTTATGCTTGAGTAGCATACCTTTAACAGGTTCTGGTAGCCAGAGACTGTCTTTGTGCAGAGATTGCCTAAGACATGAGCCGGTGGCAAGAACAGATGGTCCAAACAAAGCCACCCAGAGGGATACGGTGAAGGTATGTGTGTGATGGCTATTTTAGAAGTCCAAGAGGATGGCATGCTGCACAGATTAAGTGGGGACTCTGAAACCACACTCTGTGACCTGAACTCAGATCAATTGATTTACCCAGTGAATTTAATAGATGAGCCTTGGCTGCCTTGAATAGGAACAGAAACCTGATGCACCTTCCCTGTTCATGAGCTCATTCTCCAACTCACGAAGGTTGCCTCATGCTCAGAGCCAAAGCATAGCGCCCTGGCTGGGAAGCAGAGAGTTTTTCAGTACTCAGATGTTAATGCTTTCTGCACTTGGGCTATTTTTATCCAGCAACACAGACGGCAGTGTAAGCACAGATTTCTTCTCAGTTTTCATTATAGCAGGTATGGGATCCTAGGCCATTGTCCTTAAAGCAGACGTGTTCATGCCCTGCATCTGAACAGTTTAGGAGTGAATGCTACCCTTTGTATCCATGATCATTCATCTGTCTTCTTTTTGTTCAAAAGAAGAAAAGATATAAAACGAGGAGTCTTCAGGATATCTCTCTGGGATGAGAATGACTAAGACGTTATTCATTTCAGAAGCATAAAAAAAATCAGAGAGTAAAACAACCTGGAGATTCACAAAATACTCTCTTGAGATAAACGTGTGCTAGGACACAGAATTAGGTTCCATGAAATCAAATAGTCAGTAGCCTAATTCTTTAAAGGCATGTGGACTGATTGAAGATTCCAGACATTGTCTTCACCTTACAATCAATGCAGAGGCACAGAATGTACTGGTGTTGAAATAGACACCGAGGACTATGAAAAAGCCATCCCATGTGTAAGATCCATGTGGAGGGATCCATGAAGTGTGGCAGGAATAGTGCCCTATAGAAGAGAGTTTGTCCCCTACCCTTTGGAATCACACACTGAAAGACCTGCTTCGACAGTGTAGTACCCAGCTAGGGGGTGTATTGCTATGTGTTCCCTTTCTCTAAGTATAGTGCTGAACTAGTGACTGCCAATGCAGTGTGATTGAAGTGCGGGGTTCAAGGCAGGTAAGTAACAGACAAGCCTTCCTTATCATTGTCACCATTCCATTCATTCCTATGTGCTCGTTGGATCTCACTGGTCAACGCCACCATGAGCCTACAACCCAGATGGATGGCAATGAGTCACCAGTTCACCTAGAGCCACCTTGCATTGTTGAGTGAGTAAAAACTAATTAAAATCATGCCTCTCACCACTGGTTCACTTTTCACAGAAAACATCCAGTGGTGCCCAAAGTTATACACCATACCTGTTATGTGAATGCGGTATTCCTCCTTGAAGATCTTCTGGAAGAAGGGAATCTTGAACTGCATGTGAGGAGTGTGCAACCCGGGGAGATTCACATCAACATCGCCCATGAAGTGTGGGAACTCCCAATCCTGTTAGAAAGTCAACACGTGAGCATATCTGTCTGATTTGTCTTAAGACGGAAGACACTCTAAACTGACTTTCTCTAAGCACTTGTCTTAAAATCATTTAAATTCAGCTGACTGCTAGATATATCCATTTCACTTGGCAGTTATCATCTTATGTACACTAGATATTGGTGTACATTCAAAATAAAAATTAATTCATTACTTGGATTCTTATTGTTTTTCAATCTAGTAATTAGAAGCTAATACAAAGTGACTTGTGTCTTTATAGTTTGCTTCCATTATATACGGATCTTTACATATTTAGATAATGGAAGTAGTTGGTACAGGGTTAATAAACATGGTATTTTATCTTGCAACTTTCAAAATTATGAGTGCTATAATTTTATGTCATACATAGAGAGACAAACTACCCAAACTCTACTAAAGTATTTTACTATGCTCCACTCTAGAAACTGTGCGGAATGTTCTAACACCAAAGAACTCTAGCCCACTCGCTTGCTGATCAGGTGGTTTTGAGCCCGAGATGGAGGACACAAACCCCAAAGATTGCCACTAGTCATCATATCTAGTGAAGGTAAAACTACACAAGGCATCGCTCTTTCAAGGAAAATGTGTCCTGAGACTCCTGTCAGGAGCCACACTTGAGCTCAGACTTTAAACCACCGAATTAAAAATCACAATTAATCCCATGAAAGAAGAGCACACTAAATATAAAAGAATATTTGAGATGGGTCTATAGACATGAAAAGACACTCTTTCATTTTTAATAATCAAATGATCCCTGAAGGTACAGAACTATGTTTAGTTGATGTGTTAAGCCAACTTGAATATGAAAACAGGAACAAAATATTAGTTTGAGATTTTAATACATCAGTTGAAATTGCTGAGTTCACTCAGATAAAGCAGCTAGTACAGGTATGCTAAGAAAGGTGCCTGGTCCCTTAGGAGCATTCATATATGTTTCCTTTTCTGAGAGACTGAACCACCAGGAAGAGGAGATCAAAGAGTGGCAGTCTGTAGCACCTAGCAATCTCTAGATCAGCAGATCATCTCAAGCTGCTGACAGGAAGTAAGTATATAAGAAGAAATTAAATGATGCCACATCATCTGTTCTACCTGTGAGCAAATCAACCTCACCTGTCCATGGTTTTCAGCCATTAGTGGCACACAGATACATGATTGAGGGCTCAGGAAATCAATGAATTGTGTTAAATGAATATGGAATATTGTATAAAAATTATTAGTAGAAACTGGATAGGAGATTCTCTCTGCAAATAGTTGCTGAGGTTGAATATATACATTTCTTCCTCTCTATATAGAGTGTTCTCTCCATATTATATAACTCCCTATTCCATAAAAACCACTACAATGAAAACAGTTCTGGGATGCTAAAATACATCTGATAAGAGCTATGGCTGCAAATAAAAAGAATGATTGAGTATCTTCACTTGTCCTACATGAATGACAATATCACTAAATTATCCTTTATTTCTTGGTTGCAATTGGGCCATTGTATTTAAACCAGCTTCTTAGTTACAAGGCATTTTCTGACTTCTCCCGTTTAGAGCATCTTCCATGAAACTCAAGTTTTCTGCTGGTGTGAAATTGCTTTTAGTTTAAAAGCAATCTCTGGAGATTTCTTTTGGACTGTGGTCAAAAACCTCATTCACTAAAAAATAGTTTCTCTATTACTTCCCACCTCTTCCTGGAGATAGAAAGATGAGTTAAGGAAGTAGGGAGTGGAGAGAAGAATAAGAGAGAGGAGTGGGGTGTCGTGGTGTTTTCCTGAAGGAAAGTTTTCCTTTCTTTTTAAGAAGATATCAAACAGAGTGGTTGATGTTTGAGGCTGGTGAGTGTAGGAAAAGCAGCTCTAAGAGTCTATAAAAGATAATACTGTCTCACCTATGGCATCTCCCAGTTCACCCTTTTGCTTCATCTGTCATAAAACCATGTTTTATTGTTTCGAAACTCATTTATTTAATCTGATTTCCTGAGTTCATTTTCCCTTTATTATTTTTTTTAATTCCTACTCCCCATTCCTCTTCAGACTTCTCATTTTGAGTCAGCATACATCTGGTCTACCTTGGCTTGCACTGGAATGGCAATCATAGTAATTGCTATACTATTTTGAGCTTATTTTAGTGAAAAAAATTTATCTGAAGTTTGTTGAATCACAGGTATTTAAAACAGAGGGCAAAGGGAAGAGAGGGGGTGCTTTTTGTCTCAGCAGGTCTCAGATACTTCATCTGCAAATCGGTGTTGAACCTAGTGACCTCACATCCTTCTTGGAAGCATGAGATAACGCCTAAGCAGCAACCTCCACAGTGACAGAGACAGAGGAAGAGACACAGGAATGGTTAATGAGCCTGTTTGGTTTTCTAGCTTGAATCAGTTTGGTTTAACCTGAAAGACAGTGGAGGAAACTGATGGTTCTGTTTCACACTGGCTATGGTAAAGGAAAAAAGCCTTCTTTTCCTGTCCATCCCCATCTGTAGTACAGGTCACTCTGATGCCTCTGACTAGGGTTTAGGTCAGAGTAGAGGTCTAGAGGCTACACAGAGAAGGCAAAAGGGAGTGGCACCTCTCTCAGAGACATGTAGCAGTGGTCTTAACAGGAAGATAAGAAAACAAAATCTTGCTGGGTTCTCTTAAAATAGGAGTTTCCTTACGGTGACTTCCAGAAATAACTGAGGTGTGTGTGTGTGTGTGTGTGTGTGTGTGTGTGTGTGTGTTTGTACAGGTGAGAATATTTGGCTACTCTATGATTGAGTCACTAGTCCCAAGTAACACAAGAGCCACGCAGGATAGCTTAAGACTTCCTAGTTCCAAAGCCTTTATGCTCTCTGCTTATCCAGACTGACTCTAACCAGAGAAGCATACCATGGCTCTCTGGTTTTATCTCAGTGCTGGCCTTTTTATTAGCATTGTGTGCCTTGCTTCAGAATTAGCCATTATCGCTAGCTTATCTCCTACTAGGAGCTAGTGCACAGGGGCTTGGACCTCGTCCCGTCTTTGAGTGGGTGTTATTAAAGTCACACCCCCTAGCATGAATAAGACCAACTTTAATTCTTTCTCCATAAATAACCTCCCTGAGGACTTTTGCCTTCTAACTAGACTCCAGTGAGTGGGACAAGGAACAAATGAATGACTGACAACAAAGAGTGGGGATGTCATAGCATTGTTACCATGAATGCACAGTCATCTTAAGTAGACATTGTATAGAGAGGCATCATGAGTCATGGCTTGCTTGCTTCCTACATGACTGTCAATGACATATTTTC